AGGTTCACGGTCAGAGAAGTAAGCGTGGAGGCGGAGGAAAAACTGCTCTATGTCCAAGCGTGAGCAGTATTCGTTGATCTGTGGGTGGAGTGGGACAAAGGTGAGCCCTTTACTGAGGACTGACCGTTCGTCCTCAGTAAGGGGTAGGTCTGGGGGGATGGTGAAGACTCGGCAGGGCTGGGTGCTGCTGTCTCCTCTGGAGCTGCTGGCTGTGGAGGTGGTGGGCGGAGCTGTGTCGGCGTCGGCTGTGGGCGGAGCTGCGTCGGCGGTGGGCGGAGTTGTGCCGGTGTCGGCGGTGGGTGGAGTTGCGTCCGCATCGGTGATGGGCGGATCGGGGTCGGAGGTAGGAGCGGGGTAGGCGGCGGCAGTAGCGGTGAGGGTGGTCGCGACTTAAGTGTCGGTGGCAACGGCAGCGATGGTGTTTGCTGTCCCGGAAGTGGGGAACCCGGCGGTGGCGGATGTGACGTCATCTGTGGGTTCTCCGATTGTGGCCTCATGGCCAATGGCGGCGGACCCATTGTGGGGAAGGTCCTGAGTACGGCTGGGGATTTGGGGGGTGGAGGAAGCCCGTTTTGGGTGGTAGGCACCTGTAAGTTTACTGTACTTACGGTTTTTAGTGTCCAATAAAGCTGAGTAGAATTGGGAGTTCAGGTTGTGGATCCTACGTAGAATAAAAAACAGGAGAGGTCCTTTGCAGGTCTGGGAGAGGGAGGCTCTGAGCTGGGGTAGGCTTGATTGTAGTGCCTGGAGATGCCGGCGCATTGCTGCAAGTGTGTGTTTCAGGAGTCGCAGGGAGAAACGCTTCTGAAGGATCTCAACACCATGAGTGTAGATATTATCACGGTTGGGGCCAAATTGGGAAGGCTTGAATGTGGATTGTAGTCCATTGGGGATGATCTGGTTCCGTAGGCAGGTGCTAAGGAAGGTGATGTGGCTGTAGTACCTGGTTTGCTTCAGGATGTGGTCGAGCAGTTTCAGGGCCAAAGAGATTACGAGAGAGTTGCAGTGGGAGAGAGATCCCTTGAGGTTTGTCCGGAGGGAGGAGGGTAACTTCTTCAGGTTAGGCATCCTTAGAAGAGGCTTCGCAGTGGGGTTAAAATCGAATCAGAGATAGTAGGAACTGCAGATGCTGGAGAATCCGAGACAACAAGCACCTTGTTGTCTCGGATTCTCCAGCATCTGCACTCCCTAGAATGTTATCTGGGTTTCTGGACCGACAGTCCAGCGATAATACCACAAAGCCATTGCCTCCCCTGCTCACTAACATCTGAGGGTAGTGCCAAAATTGGGAGAACTGTCTCACAGACTAGTTAAGCAACATCCTGACACAATCATACTCACAGAATTATACCTTACAGACAATACCCCAGACACCACCAGCACCAGTCCTGGATATGTCCTGTCCCACCAGCAGGACAGATGCAGCAAAGGGGGCGGCACAGTGGTATACAGTCAGGAGGGTTTTGCTCTGGAAGTCCTCAACATTGACTCCGGACCCCATGAAGTCTCATGGCCTCAGGTTAAACATGGGCAAGGAAACCTGCTGATTACCACAGACCGTCCTCCCTCAGCTGATGAATCAGTACTCCTCAATGTTGAACACCACTTAGAGGAAGCACTGAGGATGGCAAGGGCACAAAACGTACTCTGGGTGGGGGATTTCAATGTCCACCACCAACAGTGGCTCGGCAGCAGTACTACTGATTGAGCTGGTCGGGTCCTACAGGACATAGCTGCTAGACTGGGTCTGCGGCAGGTGGTGAGGGAACCAACAAGAGGGAAAAACAAACTTGACCTCATCCTTACTAATCTGCCAGCTGCAGTTGCAACTGTCCATGACAGTATCGGTAAGAGTGACCATCGCACAGCCCTTGTGGAGATAAAGTCCCACCTTCACATTGAGAATAACCTCCAAAGTGTTGTGTGGCACTGTCACCGTGCTAAATGGGACTGACTTCGCACAGATCCAGCAACTCAAGACTGGGTATCCATGAGGCACTGTGGGTCATCAACAGCAGCAGAATTGTACTCTAGCACAATCTGTACCCCCACGGCCCGGCATATACCCCACTCAACCATTTCCGTCAAACCAGGGGATCAACCCTGGTTCAATGGAGAGTGCAGGAGGGCATGCCAGGAACAGCACCAGGCATACCTGAAGATGGGGTACCAATTTGGTGAAGCCACTAAACAGGACTACTTGCATGCCAAGCAGTGAAAGCAGAAAGTGATAGACAGAGCTAAGTGATCCCACAACCAACAGATCAGATCTAAGCTCTGCAGTCCTGCCACATTCAGTTGTGAATGTGGTGGACAATTAAACAACTCACTGGAGGAGGAGGCTCCACAAATATCCCCATCCTCAATGATGGAAGAACCAAGCTATCAGTGCAAAAGATAAGGATGAAGCAATCACAGCAATCTTCAGCCAGAAGTGCCGAATGCATGATCCATCTCGGCCTCCTCCAGTGGTCCCCAGCATTACAGATGCCAGTCTTCAGCCAATTCGATTCACTCCAATTGATATCAAGAAACGATTGGAGACACTGGATATTGCAAAGGCTACCAGCCCTGATAGCATTCCGGCAATAGTACTGAAGACTTGTGCTCCAGAACTTGCCGCTCCTCTAGCCAAGCTGTTCCAGCACGGTTACAACACTGATATCTACCCAACAATGTGAAAAATTACCCAGGTATGTCCTGTACACAAAAAGCAGGACAAATCCAACCCGGCCAATTACAGCCCCATCAGTCCCCTCTCGATCATCAGTAAAGTGATGGAAGGTGTCATCAACAGTGCTATCAAGCAGCACCTGCTCAGTGACGCCCAGTTTGGGTTCCACCAGGGTCACTCAGCTCCTGACCTCATTACGGCCTTGGTTCAAACATGGACCAAGCAGCTGAATTCCAGAGGTGAGGTGAGAGTGACAGCCCTTGAGATCAAGGCTACATTCAACCGAGTGTGGCATCACGCAGTCCGAGCAAAACTGGAATAAATGGGTATCGGGGGCAAACTCTCCGATGGTTGGAGTCATACGTGACACATAGGAAAATGGTCGTGGTCACTGCAGGTCAATCATCTCAGCTCCAGGACATCTCTGCAAGAGTTCCTCAAAGTAGTGTACTGGGCCTAACCATCTTCAGCTGCTTCATCAATGACCTTCCCTCCATCGTAAGGTCAGAAATGGGGATGTTCGCCGATGATTGCACAATGTTCAGCATCATTTGTGACTGCTCAGATACTGAAGTAGTCCATGTTCACATGCAACAAGGTCTGGACAATATCCAGGCATGGGCTGACAAGTGGCAAGTGACATTTGCCCCACACAAATGCCAAGCTATGCCCATCACCAATAAGAGACAATCTAACCACCGTCCCTTGACATTCAGTGGTGTTACCATCACTGACTTCCCCACTATCAACATCCCGGGGGTTATCATTGATCAGAAACTCAACTGGACTCACCACATTAACACAGTGGCTACAAGAGCAGGTCAGAAACTAGGAATACTGCGGCGAGTAACTCACCTCCAGACTCCTCAAAGCCTGTCCACCATCTACAAGGCACAAGTCAGGAGTATGATGGAATACTCTCCACTTGCTTGGATGAGTGCAGCTTGACACCATCCAGGACAAACCAGCCCACTTGATTGGCACTACATCCACAAGCACCCACTCACTCCACCACTGACTACCTACAAGATGCACTGCAGAAATTCACCGAAGATCCACAGACAGTACCTTCCAAACCCATGACCACTTCCACCTAGAAGTACAGGGCATCAGACATACGGGAACACCACCACTTCCAAGTTCCCATCCAAGCCACTCGCTGTCCTGACTTGGAAATATATCGCTGTTCTCCACTCTCACTGGGTCAAAATCCTGGAATTCTCTCCCTAATATCATTGTGGGTCAACCCACAACAGGAGGACTGTAGCGGTTCAAGAAAGCAGCTCACCAGCACCTTCTCAACGGCAACTAGGGATGAGCGATAAATGCTGGCCAGCCAGCAACACCCACATTCCACAAACGAATAGAGGAGAAAAAAACTACCACAAAACTACCGTTGATTGTTGTAAAGATACATTTCGTTTATTAATGCTCTTTAGGCAGACAAATCTGTCATCTATTCCTGGTCTACATGTGACTCTAGTCACACAGCGATGTGTTTGATTCATAATTGCCTCTGAAATTTCCTGGGAAACCTCTGAGTACAGGACAATTAAGGATGGGCACCAAGTTGCCTTTCCACTGACTCCCGTTATTCTTAAAATAATAAAAGATTGGCCTCCAAAGCCCATTTTTTATTTGTCCTAGGTATGATGTCAACCAGTCAAGAGATTTTCACCACTTTAAATTGACTTTTATTTTGCTCAGATTCCTTGATACCACCCTCTGACAAAGCTACTTTGATGTCAAGGGCACTCACGCTCATTGATCTCTGGAATTCAGCTCTTTTATCCATGTATGAAACAAGGCCGAAATGAGGTCAGGATCTGTGTGGCCTTGGTGGAATCGAAACTGGTGTCAGTAAGCCAGTTGTTGAAAGCACCGCCAACAGCACCTTCCATCACTTCACTGATGATTGAAAGTCAAAGGACAGGTGTGGTAATCAACTGGTTTGGATTTATGCTGTTTTATGTAAACAAGACATACCTGGGCAATTTTCCACATTGGCAGATTTATGTTAGTTTGTAGCTTTATTGTAAAAGGGGGAGGGAGCAACTAAATTTGGACCTCAGGTCTTCAGCACCATAGCCAGAATGTCAAAGAGGACTGCAGCCTTTTGTCTTACCAGTGCACTTTGCCTTTTCTTGAATTGGTTTCACAGGCACTGACTCTTAATGGGATAAAGGTTCCACAACCAAATAACCATTTTTTATGTGTCAGCACCAAATGGATGGTAGGGAGACTATTAACAATGTAAAGAATGAGAGATCTGTTAAGTTAGGTCATTACTTTAAAAGCTATACTGACAGTCACAACATTCACTTACCCTCAGCTTCGTACAGCAAGTAAATTATGTATTTCAGGCTAGTCTTCTGAATTTCTTCTACCTCAACTTGTATAAGCATAAATTCTGCAACAGAGAAAAGAGCATTTATACTTCATACTGTGGAACACAGGAGAAGATCAGAAACAAAATCAGAAGTTGCTGGAAAAGCTCAGCAGGTCTGGCAGCATCTGTGAAGGAAAAAACAGAGTTAACGTTTCGGGTCCGGCGACCCTTCCTCAGAACTGGACCAGAAAGAGTCACTGGACCCAAAATGTTAACTCTGATTTTTCTCCACAGATGCTCCCAGACTTGCTGAGCTTTTCCAGCAAATTCTGTTTTTTTTCCTGATTTATAGCATCTGCAGTTCTTTCGGTTTTTATGAAGATCAGAATCACATTCACATACCTCCAAAATACATCAGATATTGGCTCCACTGCTATGCACACAGACTCCTGCTCCATGTACACATTTTACACCATTCCCTGTAAGCACACTCTCCCATTCCACACACATGCCTTTCCATACACTTGCAGTGTTCTGTACAGGTTTAAGAACCACAGCTTAGATACTACATTGAAGTGAGTGCAACACGGATTTACCAGAATTATACATGACCTCAAAGGGTTAAATTGCAAAGAAAGATTATATAAATAGGGTGTATTTCCTGGAATTTGGACAGTTAAAGGTGATTTATTCAACATTTTCAAGCCATTCAGCATAATAGATAAAGTTTAGAGTCATTAAAGACACAGAAGGAGATCATTCAGATAAAGAGAAACTACATCTGTCTATTGTAAAGCATTAGTACTAGGAAGCATTGTTTAAAGAATAGAACCAGACCTGTCAAGAGTTAAATTAGGAAACATTTCAACAAAACATGATTTATTTTTAATTTATTCTTTCACATTTAAGTTACGTGTTGTTGGCTTGGCTATCGTTTGTTGCTCATCCCTAATTGCCCTGAGGTAGTGGTGGATCAGATTTTTGAACTATATGTGGTACAGATACACTAGTAGTTGTTTTCATGTTTTTACATCCAGGAGTGCTTTTACACACTTGAACAGAATTTTTCCCTACCACCACATCACCTATCATCAAGATGGCAACAGAGTTAGGCTCCTGAGCTGGGGCTTGTTCGCTCTGACCGCTTTTCTCGTCTTCTTTTCCTCTTTTCTTGTTTCTTTTTCTTCAATTACCAATTGTCCTGAGCTCGGACGGCATCAGTGGCTGTGAAGGATCCCAGCATGGACCTCGTGGCGGCAGCGAGTAAGCCCAGCATGGACTTACTTTCCGGGGCAAGCACAGGACCTGCTATCAGAATTGGCGGCTGCTACGTAAACAGAGACAACGTCGGTGAGATAGGCCCAGCGGCGAAAGATGGCATTTGTGGATCGGCGACTTCATCGTCAGTTGGGTCCAGTGCTGGCAGCAGCGAAGTAGTGGTGGAAGGGCATCACTGCAACATCGATGAGATGGGCTCAGCAGTGAGAAATGAGACTCTGACATTGGTGGGTCCAGTGCAGGCAGTGGCAAGGTGAGGCGGGGTGGAGGAGAATCAGCCCAGCAGCAAAAGATGGCATCTGAAGAGTGATGAATTCAATGTTGGTTGGGTCTGGTGTCGACAGTGGCGAGGTGATGGAGAAGGGATGGTGACGCAGGCGTCATTGATGATGAGCTGGCTCAGGATTGATGGACTCTCTTTAAGCTATATATTTTTTTTTTAAAATTCTTAAACTGTTCAAAATGGTGACAGGTCATGGAAAAGCTTCTCACTGTATTTTACAGTTTTTCTCACTGTGAAATACATGTGACAATAAAATCTTTCATATTCACCTATGTATCCAGTTAATTACAATTTTACATACAGGGCCAGTTAGAGACAATGAATCATGGGTCTGCTACTGGGCCTGGCCAGGCTGGCCATTAACAGGTCTAGGCAGCGGGCTACACAGGTGACTATATCTGCCAACTGTCTGTCTATCTTCCACAGTTATGTTCATGTCTGGGTGTCACTGGAGAGGGAGCACGCGGCATCCATCAATGCTCTTGATGCTTTTAGAAAGGGGTGAGCATTGTGGGGGATACAGTGCTTTATTTCCCCTCCAGCTCCATTTTGATATAGTCCCTTCCCTCTCTCCCTACCACCACAAGGATACTTGGGTTCAAGTCCCACCTGTTCCACAGGTGTGTAATAACATCTCTGAAAAGGTTGATTAAAAATATATTTTAAGGAATCAAAGTGGATGGATCAGTTTAAGATTCAGATCTAACTGAATGGCATTGCAGGCACTTGGGATTAAATTGCCGCCTCTTGTTCCCTTCTAGGTATTACTACACGCTCCATTACCAGCGTTGTGGTAGAATTCAAACTCTTAGATATTTTTAATTAGTTGGCTAAAATGTTTTGAGAAAATTCTTGAGTGGTATTATACAGAGCTTCCAGCAATTCAGTAAGAATTGGTGATTCTGATTTTATGATTTCCCTCCAGGGTTAGATAAATAGCCTGACTGGCTCTACAGCATTACAATATAATTAATAGGTAGCATAAAAGTGAGATATACAGTGAAAAAAAAATACCTTTGTGCAATAAAAATGTGAACAATAGCAATTGGATGATAAACCCTTCTAAATAGAACAACTCCCTGGAACATTTTACTGCAGATAAAACGAATGGACTGGCAATTGAAGGGATTCATTCTGTTTGCTTTGAATTAAGGCTCAAATGCCACCTACCAAGAAGCTTGTCAATGCCTTCCTTGAAAGGCAAATGTTCTGTGCCCACTGGTGTCTTCTTTATTCCTGAAAGCAGAGAGCCACAGATGACCAGTGACTCTTTCACATATTGTACGTCCAATAGTGACCTTCAAAGAAACAAAGATGTTGTCAGATTTTAGTGGCTGGTGTGTATCAGAGATTCCAGCGAATTCCCCCACATCCAAATCCAACATGAGCGGACTAAGCCAACTTGCACATTGCTCAAAGCACCAATCTATCTCAGCACTAATGGGTAATCCTACTCTGAACATTTCAGGACAGCTGTAAATGATAAAGTTGGAACAGCAATGTATTGACATGCATTGTGAGACACAGGGAATGCTCTGTCTAATCTTCTGCTATCCCTATCCTCGGAATGTTTGATGGGGACAGTGTAGAGGGAGCGTTAAACGTTACTTAAGTTAAAAGAGTAGAGACAGCTTTAATGTGTATATGACCTATGCTGTACCTGAACTGGGAGTGTTTGATGTGGACAGTACAGAGAGCTCCCTCTGTATCTAACTATGCTTCCCATCCTGGGATTGTTTTTATTTGTTTATGGAGTCTAGGCTAGACCAGCATTTATGACAAATTCCAAATTGCACTGGAGAACGTGCTGATGAGCTACCTTCTTGAACCACTGCAATCCTTGGGGTTGTCATGCTATTAGTGAGTTCCAGGGTTCTGACCTTGTGATAGTGAAGGAACAGCAATATTATTCCAAGTCAGGATGGTGTGCGGCTTGGAAGGTAACTTTCAGATGATGATGTTCCAATCCAATACATTCACTGCCCTAGTTCTTCTAGGTGGTAGAGACTGCAGATTTGAAAGCTGCTGTTGAAGGAGCACTGGTGAGCACTGTGGTGTATCTTATAGATGGTATACACTACCGCATCTGTGTAACCATGCTGAAAGAAGTGAATATTGAAGGTGGTGGATGGGGTCCCAATTAAGCAGACTGCTTTGTACTAGATAGTGTTGAGCTTCAAGTAGTGCTAGAGGTGCACCTATCCCCTGATGGGATAGTGTGGAGTGAGTTTTACCCTGTATATAACCCCTTGTGCCACACCTGCCTTGCGAGTGTTTGTTGTGGACTGTATGCAGGTAGGAATCATTATCAAACATTCCTACTTCTGACCTTTGATGGAGAGAAAGTTCTTGATGAAACAGTTGATGGTTGAATCTGGGACATTATCCAGCAGACAAGTGATACCATAGGGTTAAGATGATTGGTCTCCACCAATCACGACCATGAGTATCACTGCAAGATACACATATTTTGCTTCAAGCTTTCTATTTTGAACTCATTAGGATAATTCTTAAGAATATCAGTTTAAGGAGAAAACAACATTGTACTGTATGAGAGGACAATGATGATTAGTTGGCAAATATACTTTGGAAGAGGTACTGCCATGGAGAATGTACCAGTTAATAATAGCCAATTAACCGCCAGATTTTTATAAAATTAAACCAGGTTGATTTTGATCAAGTCAGTGTCCAGAAAAATAAACCAGCAAATGGCTATTACCTATTCTGTTCAATTCAAACTGGCACAGTGCATGTACATATTTTCTTTTCTGTCTACGAAGTTGATTTTTCCCATAAATTAGTATTCTCATTAAGTGTCCTGATGATTGCAAGATGAGAAGTTTCAACAAGATATCTCATTTTCTAGCAATACTCAAGTTCTGAACCAACCATTAATCACAACCATCTCCTTTTGTTCCAGATACGACTCCAATCAGTGGAGAAATATGCTTGACTTCAATTAACTTCAATTTTGTTAGGGGTCTTTGACACCACATTCAGTCAAATGTTGCCTTGATGTCAAGGGCAGAAACTTTCATTCTATGGAAACTAAAAGTTAGCATTAAGAGTAGGTTATTGCTGAGTAAGTACCGCTTGCTAGGGCTGTCAACAACACCTTTCATCATTTCTTGACTTTTGAGAGTAGACTGTTGGACTGCCAACTGACTGGATTAAACTTGTATTGCTTTTGGTAGACAGGGCACATCTGGGCAATTTTCCACATTGTCAGAAAGATGCTATTGTTATAGTTGTACTGAAACATGGCCTCACCATGATCTCGTCTTCTTAACCTCAATCCTCACCCGAGGCACAGTGACCCTCAGGTTAAACTCTCTCTCGAACGAAAAGGTAATCCTATAGTTTTCTGGGACTACAATAACTTTACTGTTTTACTTTACTGGAACAACTTGGCTAAGGACAGAGCTGGTTCTGAAGCATGTCTTCAGCAGTAATGCCAAGATGTTGTCATGATCAACAGCCTTGGTTGTATCCACAGTGCTCTGCCATTTCTTGCTATTGTACAGTGAATGAAACTGACTAAAGATTGACACGTGATGATGGGGACATTGGGAAGAAAGCAAAATGGATTATCCACTTGGCACTTCTGGTTGAAGATTCTTTTTTATTCATTCACGGATGAGGGCGTCACTGGCGAGGCAGTATTTATTGCTCATCCCTAAATGCTCAGAGGACAGTTAAGAGTCAACCACATTGCTGTGGGTCTGGAGTCACATGTAGGCCAGACCAAGCAAGGATATCACTTTCCTTCCCTAACGAACATTACTGAACCAGATGGGTTTTTCTGACAATCGACAATGGATTCATGGTCATCATTAGATTCTTAATTCTAGATATTTATTGAATTCAAATTCCACCATCTGCCGTGGCAGGATTCGAACCTGCGTCCCCAGAATATTATCTGGGTCTCTAAATTACATAGTTGCAAATGTTTCAGTCTTCGCCCTTGCACTCATATCCTGGACTCCCCCATCACTAACGATGGGGATGCTTGTGGAACATCCTCCTCGAGTTAGTTGTTTATAGTTTGTCATTATTAATAAGCAATGAAGCGACACTGCAGAGTTTAAATATGATTGAAGAGTTAAAGGATCACTTCACTTTGTCTGAAGTATCACGTTTAGCACACACGTGGTCCTGTGTTGTAGCTCCACCAGGTTGGTACATCGTCTTTAGATAGGCTATGCCATGCTCCTAACTGATTTAGGATTGGCTCCCTGGCTTGCTTGCAATATTAAAGTGAGGGATATGTCGGCATGAGATTATAAATTCTGGCTGAATGCAATTCTGCTCTTGCGAATAGTCCGCATCTTCTCATGGGTTCTGAGCTTTGAGTTGCTAGATCTGTTCTGAATTGATCTGATTTAGCAAGGTATTAGTACCACACATGATGATGGATATACTAAGTGCAAAGCCATGACTGTCTCACAGAGACAGATACAGTTGGTAGATTGGTGAATGCAAGGCCAAATAGGCTTTCCTCCTCCTGTTAGTTCTTTTACTTCCTGCTACTGGCTCAGTCTGGCAGCTATATCCTTCAAGATTTGGCTAGTAGTGAACTATCAAGCTATGCTTGGTGATGGACATTTAATTTCTTTAGCCAGAATATATCCTGTGCCCTTGCTTCAGTCAATGGTTCTTCCAAGTGGTATCAAACATGGAAGAAAAATGATTTATTAGCTGATGGAGAACAATAAGTGACAATCAGCAGATGTAGTACTTCTCTTATTTGGTGTGATGCCATGGAGAGCACATTACAACCAGAGTTGACGTTGAGTACTCCTAGAGGCACTTTCTCCCAACTGTATACCTCTATGATGCCATTCCTTGGAGCTTTATCATTTCATTGATTGAATCTAGAACATTAACTGGGAAGTATGATTCGGTAAGTATGACAGGGAGAGGAGCTTAAGAAGATGCTTTGCAGAAACAGCACCCAATTGTATTTTATGTGGGCCTGTCTGGTCTAGCTGAACTGTGTCTTCAAGTCGGCATTCCTTGGATTTGAGAGTGAAAATGAGAGCCAAAGGAAAAACTTCAAGATTGACGGACAGAGTAATGGTTCTGATCAAGTTGGCAGTGCAATTTAGCAAGTCAGTCACTGCAGAAATGTTGGGGCAAAAGGAGAATCAAAGGCTAGACAGTTGGGATTTTGAAGGTGCAGATGTAAGCAAGTTTTTCCAGAAACAGCTAAGATTGGGTTGTGGAAAGAAATATAATTGGCGCGTGATAAAAGACTGTGATCAGAAATGGTCTGATACATGATGGGAGTAGCAAGGCTATGTGAGATGACAAATTCAAGAAAGTTGCTCTGAATATGTGTTGGGAAGTTTATATGCTTGGGGAGGATAGGAGGTCAGTAAACACGGAACAGGTATCACAATGAGTTAAAATGGAGGTTGAAATCTCCATGACGGTAAGTTTTTTTTTTATTCATTCACAGGGTGAAGGCGTCGCTGGCTAGGCAGCATTAACTGCCCATCCCTAATTGCCCAAAGACAGTTAAGAGTCAACCACATTGTTGTAGGTCTGGAGTCGCATGTAGGCCAGACTAGATAAGGATGGCAGTTTCCCTCCCTAAAGGACATGAGTGAACCAGACAGGTTTTTCCTGACAATCGATAATAGATTCACAGTCATCATTAGATTCTTAATTCCAGATTTTTATTTAATTCAAATTTCACCATCTGCCATGGCAGGATTCGAACCCAGGTCCCCAGCATGTTACCTGGGTCTCTGGATTAACAGTCCAGCAATAATACCACTAGGCCTTCAGCTCCCCTGCAAGTTGCTTTGTGAGAGGCTGAGGAAGAAAAGCAGTGCTGGTAAGCCAATAACTCAATCCTGGTATCCATAATTCTATATATTTATGAAACCAACCATCCCCATCACAACCCCCTCAATTAGATTCCAGTCTGTAACTTACTGCCAGGTATTTGATATTCTATACACAAACTCCAAAATCCCTCAATTAAGTTGCAGTGAGTAACTCACCTCCAGGTATCTGTTACTCTACATATAAACAATCCAAATCTTTCCATTAGATTCCAGACTGTAACTTACTCCCAAGTATGTCATTCTATATCTAAACCCACCTGAATTCTTCAATTAAATTCTGTAACTCGCTCGAAAGTATCTTTTATTCTCTATGTTAACTATCCTGAACACCTTGACTGGATTCCAGTCTGTATCTCACTCCAGGTATCTGTTACACCGATGGCATGTGCCATTAATATTCTGGTCCCCTCCCTTCCCATCCAGTAACTTACGTTGCACTGATTCTTTCAGTAGGATCTGGCTCCAACATGAGCTGCACCAACTTGCAAAGGCTGGTCGTGTATTTCTTCTCCACATGGAGCTTTCCCAAGAGGTAGTCTAGATGTTTCCAGTTGCTCCTAATGATCTTTACCACCTGTTCAAACTCAGTTTCCTTGTGATTAGAGCATTCAGAAAATAAATCTGCATTTGTTTTTATACATACTTGGGAAAAAACAAACTTAAAAATATATCTCCATTTATTCTTGCTCTTCACCACTGCACAGTGCCAATCCTGGAAGATGTCAGGGTTTTATGGGCTCAACAGGTTCTCAGCCAGGTCACCATTCACAGTCCATATGGTCATGACCCCATGGTCACAACAGAACCCTGCCAGTACAGATTGGTAGCCAATCTCACCTTGTGGTTCATGCAGGCTGACAAGAGAGGGAGATGTGATGGCTAACAATGCCAGAAACATTAAAAAATCAATGATAGCAGGGGAATCTACTCTGTACAAATACTGATACATCCTTGAGCAACCCACCTCTAAATAATGATTTTCTTCCAGGTACTCTAACAAAATATATGGACTGAATTTACGTTCGGTACGAGGGAGAGAGGACTGGGTCCAAGACTGGTATTTTAAACATAAATAAAGGCATTTATGACTGCATGAAAGTAGAGCTAGTTAAAGTGAAGTGGCAAATTAAGTTAGGGCATGGATCAATACAGTTGCAGTGGCAGACATTAAAGGGACGTTTTAAAATACCCAGAATAATTATATCCCAATGGGAAAGATAAAAATCCAAGGGAACATTCATCATCCATCATTAATAAAAATGTTAAAGGTAGTATCAAACTTAAAGACAAGGCGTATTACTGTGCAAAATCAGGTGGCTAGTCAGAGGATTTGACAGGATGTAAAAAAAACAAAGTTTGACTAAAAGATTAATAAGGAGGAAAAATTATTACAGTATGAGAGAAAGCTAGCTAGAAATATAAAAATAGATTGAATTTCTGTGGATATTTAAAAAGGAAAAAAATTAATAAACGTTGGTCTTATAAAAAGTGAGTCTGAAGAATTAATAATAGAACACAAGGAGATGACAGATGAATTAAACAGCTAGTTTGCATTTTACACTCCTTAAGACCATGTATAAATACTGATAAAATGCAGGGGCCCCGACAAACACTGATGTGGAGGTGGTGGTGTTGGACTCAGGTGGACAAGGTCAAAAGTCGTACGACACTAGGTTATGGTCCAGCAGGTTTATTTGAAATCACAAGCTTTCGGAGCACTGCTCCTTTGTCAGGTGACGAAGGGGCAGCGCTTAAAAAGCTTGTGATTTCAAATAAACCTGTTGGACTATAACCTGGTGTTGTGTGACTTCTGGCCTATAAATACTGACACATTCCAAAAACATCTTGTAATTTCAGTTGGGCTTCCAAAAACAGACGAGGGCATGGGATCCACACCCTGATAATAATCAGGGGGCCATGAAACACAGAACTAAGCAAGTGTCAGTGCCCTCTGACCATCATCCTAAGGAGTGTCAATACCAACAGAGGTGGCAGAACAACACTTTTTTAAAATGTAACTCCAAGGAGGTCACAGAGAAAGAAATGAAAAAGGGTTCTGTACATCCATCATGTTGCACGTCATCATCTCAAGCAAAATACACCCTACGGACCAGATGTCACTTTTTGCGATCGGCATCCTTTCCAATGCCTCTGGAGCCATCCAGACCTTTGAATCTACCAGAAAGAAAAGGAAAAAAATTACCTCCTACCTATCTGTAAACAATTCATCTACATAACAGGGACTACAACTACACCCACCGACGCACCAAAAACAACAGAATACAGCAAAGCCATCCTTTTACTAACATCTGAGAGCTTATGCCAAAATCGGGAGAGTTGTCCAGCAAAGCAACTAGCCAAGCAACAGCTTTTCCTGGCTATGTACTGTCCAACAGGTAGTACGAACTCATCAGAGTTTATAATATAGTGGCATTCAATAAGAAAACAGCTGCCCTGAGAGTCCTCAACATTGATTCTCATGGCATCGAGGCAAAAATGGGCAGGAATGCACCTCCCCCTCACCACAATTCTCCATATTGAACATCACTTGGAGAACATACTAAGGGTGTACTCCGGGTGGGGACTTCAAAGTCCATGCCAGGAGTGGGATTGGTAGCCCCACTACTGACCTAAATGCTGGAGGGAAGGTCAATAATGAATCAGCAGAGCATAAGGACAAGAGTCGGCGATCTAAACACTTTAACCTGTTCTGTAATTCAATGAAATCCTGGTTGAGTGACAACCTGACTCCACATACCTGTTCTTTCCCCCTATCTAGCCATCTCAGATGAAAAATGAACAATTGTTCTCAATTCATGTCTGCAGAAGATTCCTAAACTTCTACCACCCTGTCTACATAGGAATCTTGTTAACTTCAGCTCCTGAAGGACCGGCTCTAGCTATAAACATCTGCCATCTAGACCTAGACTCTCCAACCAGACAAATAGTTTCTATTGTTCAATAATGGGGTCCCTTAAAACTGAATTTTTCTGGTATTTAATATGGAGCATACAATTTCATTTCACAGCTATTACATCAGTACTTAACATTCCAAAATTCTAGCATTTGAAAACAAAGGAAAGAATTACAACAAAACTAACATTAACAATTCGTCTGCTGCCAAAAGCACCCAATTATCAATGTTTTGGTTTTGAAACTAAGTTTAGAAATAGTGATAAACAAACCCTCAGATGAAGGTGGGCAATGATGATCATCCTACATTATGTTTGGTTCTCCCATGGCCATTGGCTAACAGGGGTGACAATTAATTGACACAGAGAAAATAACCTGTCGCTTGAATGATATAAAAATAAGTACGAGATTTAGAAAGAGCAGGAGTACTCAGGATAGAAGACGCCACCGGAAGCCCACAGGGGCTAAGACTGGAATAAACATACTGGGGCCAAGGAACTTAGAAAAGCCACATTTTCACTGGAAAAGCCATCCAGGGGCCAACAGAGCTCTGCAGCAGGATTTCTCACTAGAGTAACTGCGTCAGGGCTAGGTCAAATCCATGCTGGAGGAACCGTGCAGGGACCAAGAATAGAGTAGACTCAGCACAGAGGGGAGTTTTCTTAGACAGCACTCTTCATTGAGCATCATCACCAGACACATGGAAATGGATCAGAAGGACAGGAGGAAGACCAAGGACAGAGGTTCCTAACAAAGCAGCTAGACAGCAGGATTCTGCCCCAAAACTTTACTGAGACAAAGACATTTCATGTTGATAGCCTGTTTAACCCCTGTTACTGGTCAACCATCCCCATTTGTCAGTTATGTACTTTCTTTACCCAACTAACTAATGCATCATATCTAAACTCCTGCTTCTTCACAAACTCAATAAACTATCAGAAAATTACTTACAAATCACTGACTGCCTGTGATCACAAACCCCTAAAAACACTATTCACCCGATCTGGACACAGGTTGTGATTCAGTCTGCAGCTGCACAACCTTAACAGAACCGAAGATGAATATCGATGAGTGAGTAACTGGTAACAAAGTGGCAGTTAAATGCACTGTCAACAACACCTCTCATCACTTTGCTGATGACTGACAGTAGACAGAGGCAACATTAGATTCATCTCAATTTTTTAGGCAGGACATATTTTGCACTTTGTCAAGCAGATTGTAGGTAAGTAGTTATACTGGAACAACTTAGCTACAGGCACAATTCCAGATTTTCACTGCTACAACCAGAATACAGAGCCCATAGGGCTTCCTGTAGCCTATGCTTTAGCCATTTCTTGAGAACAAGTCAAGTTAATTAAATTGGCTGCAGACTGGCAACTGAAGACTAGTGGCAGTCAGTGACTCAGCACTTCACAATGCATGTGGTAGGACTTGATCATGTGGAAGGATCTTGATCAACTGGGCCAGTGGGCCCAGGAATGGCAGATAGAGTTTCAGATAAATGCGAGGTGTTGCATTTTGGTATGACAAACCAGGGCAAGACTTACCTAGTTACTGGTAGGGCCCTGGGGAGTGTTGTCAAAGAGAGAGATCTAGGGGTGCAGGTACATAGTTTCTTGAAAGTAGCATCACAGGTAGGCAGCGTGGTGAAGGCATTTGGCATGCTTTCTTTCATCGGTCAGACCACTGAGTACAGGAGTTGGAGTATCATGATACTGCTGCTTAAGACATTGGTATGACCACATTTGGAGTACTGCATACAATTCTGGTCACCCTATTATAGGAAGGATGTTATTAAACTGGAAAGGGTACAAAAAAGATTTACACCATGTTACTGAGGCCAGGAGGTTTGAGATATAAGGAGAGGCTGGATAGGCTTGACTCGAGTAGCAGGAGTGGATAGAGCGCAAGCCAGGGGACAGCCGAGAAGGTAAGGTTTCCTATAAAAACTTACCTCGTGAGTCAGCGGACTACTTGATTCCAGCGACGGGAGTGGAGAGAGCGCGAGCCGAGAAGTGAACTAATATATTCGGGCATTGTCTAAACCCGAAACACTACACGTGTAGTGTCTCCCAGCCATCCTCCTCCTCTAACCAAAAAAGAGGACTGTGTGGAGGGTCGGTAAGGTAAGGCTTTTTCTTTTTCTTTATTCTTTTGGCAATCTAGAGTAGAGAGAATGGAAGCTAGGGCAGTTGTATGTTCCTCTTGTAGGATGCGGGAGGCAAGGGTCACTGCTAGTGTCCCCTCTGACTTCACCTGCGAGAAGTGCACCCAACTCCAGCTCCTCACAGACCGCGTTAGGAAATGGAGCTGGAGCTGGATGAACTCCGGATCATTCAGGAGGCTCAGGGGGTGATAGAGAGGAGTTATAAGGAGGTGGTCACACCCAAGGTACAGGAAAAAGGTAGCTGGGTGACTGTCAGGAAGGGAAAAGGGAATAGGCAGACAGTGCAGGGATCCCCTGCGGCCGTTCCCCTCAATAATAAGTATACCACTTTGGATACTGTTGGGTGGGGGGACTTACCAGGGGAAAGCCATAGCAGTCATGTCTCTGGCACTGAGCCTGGCTCTGTGGCTCAGAAGGGAAGTGATAGTGATAGGAGATTCACTGGTTAGGGGAACAGACAGGATGGTATGTTGCCTCCCGGGTGGCAGGGTCAGGGATGTCTCGGATTGAGTCTTCAGGATTCTGAAGGGGGAGGGACAGCAGCCAGAAGTCGTGGTACACATCGGTACCAATGACATAGCTAGGAAACAGGACGAAGACCTGAAAAGTGATTATAGGGAGTTAGGACGGAAGCTGAAAGCCAGGACGAGCAGATTACGAGAGTAACCTCAGGATTACTACCGGTGTGACGGGCTAGTGAAGCCAGAAACAGAGAACGAGTGCAGTTGAACACATGGTTACCGAGCTGGTGTAGGAGGGAGGGCTTCAGGTTTGTGGATCGTTGGGATACCTTCTGGGGAAGGTGGGACCTGTACAGGAAGGACGGGTTGCACCAATATTCGAGGCAGGAGGTTTGCTAGAGCTCTTTGGGAGGGTTTAAACTAGTTTGGCAGGGGGATGGAAACCAGAGCTACAGATCAGAGGATGGGGTAGCCAGTGTACAGACAGATAGAGCAAGCACAGAATCTGTCAGGAAGGATAAGCAGTTGATAAGGAAAAGTGGCAGTCAGTGCAACGGGCTGAGGTGTGTCTACTTCAATGCAAGAAGTGTCAGGAATAAAGGTGATGAGCTTAAGGCGTGGATCAGTACTTGGAACTACGATGTTGTGGCCATTACAGAGACTTGGATAACACAAGGGTAGGAATGGTTGTTGGATGTTCCAGGGTATAGATGTTTCAAAAGAAATAGGAAGGGACGTAAAAGAGGTGGGGGAGCGGCATTGCTAATCAGGGATGATTAACAGCTGCAGAAAGGGAGGTCGTGGAGGAGGTTTCTCCACTGAGTCAGTATGGGTGGAAGTCAGAAACAGGAAAGGAGCAGTCACTTCATTGGGAGTTTTCTATAGACGCCCCACCAATACCAACAGAGACACCAAGGAACAGATTGGAAGACAGATTTTGGAAAGATGCAGAAGTAAAAGGGTTGTTGTCATGGGCGACTTCAAATTCCCTAACATAGACTGGAAATTCCTCAGTGTAAATAGTTTGGATGGAGCAGATTTTGTCAGGTGTGTCCAGGAAGGATTTCTGACTCAATATGTAGATAGGCCGGCCAGACGGGAGGCCATATTGGATTTGGTGCTTGGCAACGAACCAGGCCAGGTGTCAGATCTCTCAGTGGGACAGCATTTCAGTGACAGTGATCACAACTCCCTGACCTTTACTATAGTCATGGAGAGGGATAGGAGCAGACAGTATGGGAAAGTATTTAATTGGGGGAGGGGGAATTACAATGCTATTAGGGAAGAACTATGGGAGCACCAACTGGGATCAGATGTTCTCAGGGAAATGCACGACAGAAATGTGGAGGTTGTTTAGGGAGCAGTTGCTAGAAGTACTGGATAGGTTTGTCCCACTGAGGCAAGAAAAGGATGATAAGGTGAAGGAACCTTGGATGACAAGACATGTGGAACACCTAGTCAAGAGGAAGAAGGAAGCTGACTTAATGTTGAGGAAACAAGGATCGGACAGGGCTCTAGAGGTTTACAAGGTAGCCAGGAAGGAACTAAAGAATGGACTTCGGCAAGAAAAGGGTGTATGGAAAAACTTTGGTGGGTAGGATTAAAGAAAACCCCAATGTGTTCTATACTTATGT